TCAGTTGGTAGAGCATGTGACTCTTGCTCTTGGGGTTGTGAATTTTAGCCCATGTTGGGTGTAGAGATTACTTAAAAATAAAATCTTTAAAAAAAAAAAAGCATTCTGAAGCAATCTTAAACTTTAGTATGATACAGTCACCTGGGAATTTTGTTAAAGTGCATATTTGATTCAGTAGGTCTGGGATGGGATAAGAAGTTCTGCATTTTCTAATCAGCAACTGGATGATGCCAATGGGGCTGGTCTATGGACCACACACTGAGTAGCAGGTTACTTTTCTGCCTTGGTAAGCAAAGTAGAATAAATATAACAAAATTGTTATTTTGAATAACATTGTACATGTTGATATAAACACACACTGAGATAGTTTAAATTTTTTAATATCATATCATAATATTGACTTGTTTTCCTGATACTACCTTCCTCAGAAAAGAAAAGTGGGAACTAATGGGGAGAAAAGTCCTAGTTATAGCAATATTTCTATCAGCATCTAGCATGAAATCTGGTACACTGTAACATTAATGTTATGTACAGGGGCCCCTGGGTGGCTCAGTCAGTTAGGCATCTGACTCCTGACTTTGGCTTAGGTCATCGTCTCAGGGTCCTGGGATCAAGCCCCACATTGGGTTCCACACTCAGCCGGGAGTCTGCTTGAGATCCTCCCCTTCTCCCTCTGTCCCTTCCCCTACTTGTGCACGTTCTTTCTCTCTCTCTTTCTCTCTCTCATAAATAAAGAAATCTTTATAAAGTAAAATGTTAGGTACATTAACTTATTTATCATAAACTTCATTATCAGAATTAATAATTCTGAAGGTGATACATGGACACATCCGTTAAGGAGGTGGTCAATAATATGAAAATATTACTAAATAAAAATGAAAAAACTCTCCTAAACATATTGTCAATCCAATAATACATTACAGAGTATGAATATAAGGGAAAGGATTAGATGTTCTAATAAATGTTAGGAGTTACCCCTGGCTCAGAAAAGGGAAGAGAAGAACAAAAAGAATAATATTCTGAAAGAAGGTACCAGTAAAGAAATCCATGCTAGGGAAGCTGATGCAGACAACTTGTCCCAAACATATGCTGGAATAGTCATAAAATGAATGGAGATGTGTCTTCCTCAGCTGTCTAATCAGTGGATCAGGGCGCTGTCCAGAGAAGGAAAGAAGGAAACACAGATCTTCCCCACTAATCCATCTACCTCCTACAAATTATGCTAAAAGGATTAAATTGGTATCAGTTATTTTCATAACCTCCTTACTTGGTGCATTAAATACCATGAAGGTATTTGTTTAGGAGTGATTAGCAGTTTGACTCATTAGTAGTAGTTTCTATCTTCAAGTCTTTCAGAATCCCATGACAACTTAAAGTGTTGAGGAACTAATTCAGAAAAATTTGTTATAATTACCTTGTAATGTTTCCTTTTTTAAAAAAATACATTAATGTGGTCTTGATGGGAGTTTTCACTGAAATGGCTTTGATGCTTTTGGTCTTCTAATACTTAGATAATGCCTATAAATATCAACTTGGCAGGGCCCAGGAAAATTATGCTAACTGATATTTATTGGCTGATTATCAACTACTTGTGGGTAGTTCAGTCAGCTCCATGTCACTGACTGAGATGTCCAAGATGAGGACATCTCCAGCCAACCACCCATCTTTCCTACTACTCTCATTCCTTTACCTTTTCTTGCCTTCCCCCCTTCTTTCTTGCCTCTATGGGCATTCTGCATTTTTTTCGGTTCTCAGAATATGTCATGTTCTTTCTTCCTTCTGTTCCTTTTTGGCACTTTTTTTTTTTTCTCCAGACGGAATACCCTTAGCCATGTTATGTTGATTCCTATTAAACTTCAGGTCTCAGGTCTTACATCAAAACTCAGAACACTCAACTCTTGTTAATTGCTCCTCCTATGAGCTCTCTTCCATACACTCTAACACAATACTGATCATACTTGTGTGATCTAACATACATGCACACACATATACACACTATTTGCCTACATAAATATATGTATACATACATATATACATTTACACACACACACACCTAAACATTGTGAAAAGACTGTGTCTCTCTTATGTGTTTGTTTTAGCTACAGTCTCACATTTTGCTTATTTTTTATAGAACTGGTAGTTTGGGGACCAAAACTTATAAATTCTTTTTTTGTACAAGTCTCTAGAATAGTTAAATAAGTAGTGACCATTAACAAGGAGTCACCTTTTAACTAATCTTCTTTTTCATATTCTTTTTATAAAATTCTGAAGTGGTGAGCTCTCTAGGATATCAACACCTAGAGCTGTTAACCTTTTTATATTTTGTAAGAATATGAGCCATAGCTTGAACATAGCACAGTAACAAAAAGAAAACAAAACAAAAATTTAAAAAGGTATTTATCTTGGCTCCAAGTCTGCCAATAAATCTTTTCTATTTCTGTTTTTAATGGTTTTTTGTTTTGCTCCCTGATGTATCCTAAACACTTGGCACATAACAGGCACTCGATATATATCCATTGGATGACTGAATGAACAAATATGTAAGTTAGATACATTGTACAACATACTGTTTCAAGTGAATGCTATTTAATTGTATCTTTGAAAATGTATTTTGAAAATGTTGCCTGTTTTCCTACAAGATAGTTACCTTATCTAAGTCACTTAATGATAAATTAACTTCCTTTCCTATTTTATCTGCTTGGTAGTACATTCTCGTTTTTAGACATTTCTACTAGTGGTCTGAAGAATGCAATACACATATCTATCTATCATCCATCTATCTATCTATCTATCTATCTATCTATCTATCATCTATCTTTTTTTTAAGTAATTTTTAAGTAATCTCTACACCCAACGTGGGACTTGAACTCACAACCCCGAGATCAGGAGTCGAATGCTCCACCAACTGAGACAGCCAGGCGCCCTCTTTTTTTTTTAATCTTATTTCATTTTATTATTATTATTTTAGTAGGTTCCATGCCCAACTTGGGGCTTGAGCTCATGGCCCTGAGATTAAGAGTTACATGTTTTACTGACTGAGCCAACCACATACCCCTCTATTTATTTAAATATATCCTGGAGAAAATGGTATTAGGACAGAATATATTGTGAATCTAAGCAATTTTATAAGCAGACCCTTCATTCAGCCCTTGGGGTTAAGAAGCCTTTAATTTATTCCCTAAGGCCCTGTGGATTTTAAAGAAGTAATTACCTTTGACATAGGTATTTTTGATCAATAAAGAGTAGAGACTCTGTAATATTATTTCCCACCTTCTATCATATATGACAATAATAGTTGTTTTAATACTAGTTTTCATTTCTTGAGGTAAGCTTACTATAATAGGCAATGTGCTACACAGTTCACATACTTTACCTTTTAAAAAAAAAGATTTTATTTATTTACTTGAGAGAGAAAGAGATAGCAAGAGAGTGCACGGCGGGGAGGGTGGGGTAGAGGGAGCGGGTGAAGCAGACTCCTCGCTGAGCAGGGAGCCTGATGACTCCGGGGGGGTGGGGGACTTTATCCAGGACCCTGGGATCATGATCTGAGCCGAAGGCAGATGCTTAACTGACTTTATCTTATATAGTTCTCATTACAACTCTACAGGGAGAAAAAATATCAAAGTCCAAACAGCTTTAATAGCTGGCATAGGGTCACACAGTCATAAGGAGCAGGGAAAGCTTCTATTCTAGATCTTTTCAAAGATTATTAAAATGAAAGTCTGAGTACAGACAAGGAGCAAGAATAAAAAAGAATTCTCAGAGAAATATTAAGATGTAGATAGAAATTTTGAGCTCAATGTTGAAAGTGAGTGGGGCCACCTCTGTCTTCTACAATTTGAGAGAGAGCTTGTAACAAGCAAGCCCACTCAAATTTCATGTAGATATCACCTATCTGATGTTAAAAATATGTATTTTCCAAGAGCAACAGAATTTTTTCCTTTAAATTAAAAAAACAACAAGATTTTAAATGATTATTTCCCATTGTATTGCTCCCTTCCTGTCACTGTTTTTGAGCTAGAACATGGAGTCCTTGGTGGGGAAAGGAAGTGCATGTTCATCAATCTCCATTAACAATCTTGAGTGTTTTTTGTCATCTAATAATTTCTGAGTTGATAGATGTATAACTACTCACATAGTTAGATGAGATATTCATCCACATTGGACATCTACTGAAGCTCCGACTGTACCCTTTATGGTCACGTTTTAGATAATGTCTCATTAATTAAGCAGATCTTTTAAAATTCTACTCTTTTTTTCATATAAACCTCTTGGAACTATGCTAACAAAAAAGCAAAATCCATTCTATAAGAATTTAGTATTTTGGGGGAAGAGTAGGGGATAATTGTTATGTTCTAAATTAGTTTATGATATAGGGGTACATAAGGGCAGTGTCAGCTGAAGTGTATTCATAATGACACCAAAACCCGTGGTTTTTCAGGTGTTCAAATTCACTGCAGAGATGAAAGCTGGAATGACCCAAGTACAGATAACCACTCTTTATTTCATCAGTTTGAGTCTGCTTATTGCCTACGTCCTACACATATATTTAGTCTTAAGATAATTTCACATACTTTTTTTTAAAGTAATCTCTACACCAAACGTGGGGCTTGAACTCACGACCCCAAGATCAAGAGTCACATGTTCTACCAACCACGGCAGCCAGCTGCCCCTTAAGATAATTTTAAACATATCTCTCTCTCCATCATCCTTTTTTTCTGTTTTATTTGTCTTCTTGTTTTCCCAAATGTGGTGCTACGGGAAACAATTTTACTTCATGCAGAGTGATAAAAGAGATTACTCTTATGAATATTGTACTCTTTTCACCCAACAAGTTAACAATCCGTTCCTCTTATCAATGAAGAAATGAACGTGTGTGTGAGTGTACTGAGAATTTCATGACCTCTCTCCCATGGACCAGCGTATGAAGGATGGCAAGATTCATCTCTTTTGTACAAGTCAAGCTCCCCCCCTCCCCCAGTAATCACTAGTTCACTTACTTTTGCAAGCATCTGGAGCAGAGAAGGGTCTCCGGAGGTCCCGGTAGAAGCCTGGCTTACATCGTTGGCAATGCTGACCTTCTGTGTTGTGCTGACAGTCATTACAGACACCACCACTGCGATTACCTGATGCCTCCCACACATTAATGTCAAAGTGACAGGCATCAGCATGCCCATTGCACTTGCAGGCTGAAGGGGGGAAGAGGCATGGGAGGGAAAACAAATCATTTAAAACAACAGGTTCTCTAATATTCAGGCAGTTAAAAATGGGGTAAGCTGATTGCTAATTTTTTTTTAATTCAAGTATAATTAACATACGGTGTTAGTTTTTAATTTGATTTTTAGCTTTTTATATAGTGCACATTTTCACAGTACAAGAATCAAAACAGCATATAAAAAGGCGGAGCCTTTTATTTAATTTAAAAAATTTAAAAAATTCAAATTTAAAAAAATTAAGTTTTAAGATATGCCTGAAAATCAGCAAAGTGTAGATCTGTCTTCTTAGGCAGAGGTAGGACTGTTTCCTTAGCAATTGGGGTTGACACTTATTTTGGAAAGACTATTTGAGTGGCTACCCATTTTTTTCCCTCTTTGACAGTAATACTTCACCATTTCCATTCCTGCTGCGTCCCAAGGACCAGTATGTCATCACTAAGAGTCCCCTGACTGTGCTTAGAAAACTCTACATTGTCAGACGTTATATGAAAATGAAAATTCATATTGCAGATACAGGCCTGAATTCATGCTCTCTAATGAGCCTCGAAGGAATCTTGTAGTGGACAGGGGTTAGTAGCTTGGCAGGTAGATTGATTTGTCTCTCATGAAGCACTCAGCTATTGATGTACTGGTGAGTACAAGACAGTCTCCTATAGAAGCCTAGGTTCTTTGTGTTTTTGTTTTTTGTTTTTTTGTAGAAGAGGTTTGCATTGTTTCTTTTGAAACAATTTCTCAAAGGCATTTATAAGATTATCAATAGCACCAAGGGACAAGTCTCTGTGTTCTATATGTATTTAGATACACAAGTTGGTGTCTGTGGAAAGAGCAGAATGGCACTCTAGGAATTTAGGAGAAATTCTTTAGATTCTCTTGATGAGTGATTTAGAATAAGAATCCAGACTTTTTCCTGGAGGTCAACTGTGTTTGTGCTATTGTTTTTTCATTGTTTCCTTGACATGTTATGATATTTTGACGAGATTCATAATCTGTAAAAAGCATAATATAAGATAATTTAAAATTTACGCTTAGAGGAAATCCTTTACATTTCCTAGAAACTAAAATAAATCAATTAGGATTCCAAATTATGTACGGGAGACTTCCCACAATGTTACTGACAGTGCTTGCCTTTAAATCCTTGTAAAACTGAAGTTTGTGAGTATAAACATTGTTATGGACATGTGTATTTCTCTGAACATTTTGAATTGCAAAGAAAAAAATGGTTTGTATTCCTGTATTTTTTACCCTCTTATCTAATCTCCAACCTCAAACCCGAAGTTAGCCCTAGTAATGCAGTCTCATTCTTGACTAACTGGCTTAATTTCAAATCTGATTTGTCATTTCAAGTACCATAAGTAAAAAGAAAGGCACTATGGTATTATGGAAAAAACATTTAATTTGGAGACTTGAAGAGCTGGGATCAAGTCCTATTATTTACTAACTTTGGCAAGTTACTTAATCTTACTGAGCCTCAATTTCCTGATCTCTAAAGTGGGATTAACACCACCTGCTTGCCTTACAGGGTTGTTTTGAGAACTGAATTTGAAATAGCTATTGTCATGATTATAATTCGATATCTCAGCTACAAGGGTAATTGTATGCCGTAATCGTCAGTTGCTCTTGTGTCTAGCCATGTTTTTATTATGTCAACTTCTCAAGAACAGTGCTTAGGTCCTGGTCCTGCAAAGTGTCCAAGTAAATGGGCAACACATTGTTGGCAAAATAGTCATATTGGCAACTTTGCAAGCAGTGATTGCTTCCAATGGTTGAGGTCATAGTGAGCAGTGATATGGGCTATATTTGTGTAGGTTACAGTGCCTGTCACCCACCACTTTATACTGTGTTTCTAGAGACAACACGGAGTCCACAGACAGTTGACTTTACAAAGAAGGCTTTTAGTCTTGTGGGCTTGGTACTCACTTCTGCACTCTTTAGGAGATCCTGTTTTGCCATCAGCTGCTTCCCAGGGGCGGTCGTTGTATAATGGTGCACAGTGTTGGCAGTGGGTACCTGCTGTGTTGTGCTTACACATACACTTTCCATGGACCTACAAACAAAAATAAGTAAGAGCTGTGAGGCACAAACAATGCTGGGAAGGAATATTCTTCCCACAATCTTATCTCATTGGTTGGCTGTATCCATGTGACATTCATTCACTTTCCTAAAGAAATCGTCAAGATGTGAGATCCTTTATTTAGTTTGTCCTGTGATTAATTCAGAGGATTACATAAAAGGGGCACCTGGATAGCTCAGTCAGTTAAGTGTCTGACTCTTGATCTCAGTTTGGGTCTTGATCTCAGGATTGTGAGTTTAAACCCTGAGTTGGGCTCCATGCCCAGTGTGGAGCCTACTTTTAAAAAAAAAAAGAAGTTTAGGGCGCCTGGGTGGCTCAGTTGGTTAAGCGACTGCCTTTGGCTCAGGTCATGATCCTGGAGTCCCGGGATCGAGTCCCACATCGGGCTTCCTGCTCAGCAGGGAGTCTGCTTCTTCCTCTGACCCTCTTCCCTCTCATGCTCTCTATCTCTCATTCTCTCTCTCTCAAATAAATAAATAAATAAATCTTTAAAAAAAAAAGAAGTTTACATAATATATTTTTCTTGACTGTCAGTTGTGTGACCCTAGTGAGTAATTCTGAGGTACTGGCTAGATATTTACTTAAATTTTTAACACCTTAAAAAATTTTAAATTCTTTATACAAAAGTACTACATTTTTACTGTAGAAAATTTGGAAATCAGTAAATATGATTATTTCATGTCATAATCAACATTTGAAGTTTATATTTCCAGTACTTTAAAAATACAATTATACACATACATACATACATATATATATTTTTTAAATATTTTATTTATTTATTTGACAGAGAGAGAGAGAGAGCACAAGCAGGGGGAGTGACAGAGAGAGAGGGAGAAACAGGCCCTCTGCTGAGCAGGGAGTCCCACATGGGGCTTGATCCCAGGAGCCTGGGATCATGACTTGGGCCAAAGACAGACACTTAACTGACTGAGTCACCCAGGTGCCCTGATATACAATTATATTTAAAACTTCTTTTTTCATGTAACAATATATTGATATCATCTTTCCATTTCATTAAATATTCTTGTATAGCATACTTTTTAATGGCTCCCTTGTATGTTGTACAATTTATTTGGCCAATCACCTGTTTTTGGTTATTTAGGTTTTTAAATATTTTTACATATTATACTTTAGTTCTATAACAAATATCCTTGTAACTATTTGTGTACATCTTTATTTAGAATGTGTTTTCCAGAAGTAAAACTGATCAAAAAAACATGTATTTTTAAGACTTTGAATATATTTTGTCATAAGGACCATAATGATTTTCTTTTAATCCCACAATTCAGAGTAGTCGAGTTTATTAAAATAGTGTTTCTCACAAGGAGGAATACGTCAGTAGAATTCTCTAGGATCTGAGAGTTTTATGTTGGATTTTAATATATTTTTTTGAATCTTACCAACAGTTTCTAAAAATTAAGATCTTGATCATCTTGAATATTCCCTAATAACTAAGGATTGCCATTAATTCCAGTACCAACATGCACTTATTGACACATGACGTCGTGACTGTACAAATGAAAGCTTTGTAAAGTAGCTCAGAATGGGGTTTCCAAATTTGGATCTATGAGATGTTTTTTTGTTTTTTCTTTGAGAAACAGCATAACAGGTAAATTAACATGAAAGTAATAGATAATATCAACTAGTCAACAGATAATTAATGTATATCTACCAGGATAGGTAGTATGTTAGGCAATGTTTGGTACACAAAGCATTACAAAACAATTTCTGTGTTTAAGAATGGTATAATGTAGCTGGATAAAAAAGATTTACATAGAAAAAATTTACAGATAAACAAGACAATAAATACGGAAGAAAAGAAAAGGATGTTGGAATTTAAAAGATGCAGAAATTACCAGAGATTGGCAGTTGTGGAGGGCTTTAGGAAGGGGGTTGGGTTTTAAGCTAGTTCTTAAAAACGGGCAGTGTATCTGACAAGCAGAAGGAAAGAGACTTCCCAGGAAGAGGAAACAAAATGAACCAAGGTATGGTGTTAGGAGGCTAGGGAGAATCTGTGAACAAAGCTTATTTTAATACAGCCAGAATATTTTGACTGCAATGATAAAGGAACTACTAGAAATGACATGAACTTGGAGTGGCCGGAATCAGAAGGAATCAATCCCTAGAGTTCAACAAATCTGGAAATAGCTACACCAGTACATTGATGTACTACTCCTTGACCTCATTTAACACCAGAGTAAGTTGTGTTTTCTTGCCCAGGAGCCCCTTTCTCTTTCAATTCTCTTAGCACAAGTCTTTGGTTCCACTGGTAGAGGCACTCTGGATTATGCATTATCCAAGTCTGATATGACTACTATAGACGTTATGCTCACAAAATATTCAAGTGCAGGAATTATATAGGGCCCAGAGGACTGCAGCCTACTTGTGAATGATCCACATGAGGCCTAAGTGTTATAATCTGGAAAGTTTCATAAATAATGATTTTGGTGGCCATCTTGCTAAATTTCATTTCTGCATATTGTAAGGTTTTTGTACTTAATGAAAATTAATTATAGCTGTCCCTTTAGTTCTTAGGGATTAATTAAAGTATAATTTTTTTTAAAGATAAGATCGGCTCCTTAGAGTACAATGACGTTGCAAAAATTTTTGTTAATTTTCCTTATAGAAACTGAGCTGGTGTTACAGATTCAACTTACTGACTTTGGTCTTGGAATACCCAAGTGTGAGTTGAGTTACACTTGAATACACTTGAATACCCAAGTGTTGAGTGTTTTCTTGGGTTTCTCTTTGTGACTATCTCTCCTAGGAGCTGTTTATATGTAAAGTCCCACAGAGTTGTAAGATACATCTCCATTCACACATGCAGGTGAGTTCTAAAGACAAATGTGCACTTAAATTTGGATATCTGCAGGAATTTAATTTTTACTGCTCTATAAGAGTGTGGTCTTTTGGGGTGCCTGTGTGGCTCAGTCAGTTGAGCTTCTACCTTTGGCTCAGGTCATGATCCCAGTATGCTGGGATCAAGCCCCGTGTTGGGCTCCCTGCTCAGAGGGGAGCCTGCTTCTCCCTCTCCTCCCCGCTTGTGCTCTCTCTTACTATCTCTGTCTCTCTCTCAAATAAATAAATAGAATCTTAAAAAAGAAAAAAGGAGAGTGGTCTTTTTATCCCAGCTCTTGGAAATCTGATTTTTCATATATTCTGGGAGAAATGCTCCAGTCTTACTGCTTTTATTAAATCTTTTAAACTCAACATTCCTTATCATGATGGAAAAATAGAAACTCTTTTTCAGATAACTTTGGCATGGGAAGATTCTCTAAAGGCTCTCAGTAAAAGCTGGATGCCGATTTCTAGCAAAATAGAGTCTTTGGAAAAAATGAATATGAAAAATCTCCCGAAGTTGAAGAATTTAGTAAAGTGAAGACACAGTTCTACCTGTGTGACACATTTCCACTGGCAGAAGTTGGTAGCATAATGAAAATTAGTGGGAAGAGTAGTTTTGTAATTGTCTAAATTCTATAACCTGTAAAAAAAAAACAAAACCCACATACAGAACTCCTAGGATACAAAAATTTGATGGAATTAGAGTCAGAATTCCTAGAATAAGCCACCCCTAATTCACCACTGCTGTTATGTGGAGTACTATCTGAGGGGGGCATTTTAGAAAATGTTAAGTCTAAAGTAAATATGGTAAAGACCAAGGTCCATAAATGCTATTTGTATAAAACTTCTTAGTCCTCAAGGCTGTGTCTTAAAGAACACATAGGATTTTCCTTAGGGACAAAGACAAAAGAAGATAAGAAATCCAAAGGAATATTCTGGGAAAAATCCATAAATAAAGAGGGCATGTGTTGGGGAGGTGGGCTCTAAATAGATCGTGGAACACATTAAATATCAGCTTAGGATGCTGGAATTTACCCTGTAGGTACTGAAGATCTGCTGAAGATCTTTGAGTAAGGAAATGATTAAAAGGTATATTAAATACACTTTCTTTTCTTCTTTCTAAAAAAACCTTCTTTCTACCTCATTCCTATCTTGTCTCTTGTGTTCTTTCTTCTACTTCCTCTTTTACTATTTCTTTACCATATATATATATGTTATATATACACACACACACACACACACACACACACACACACACACACACACACCAGCTTATGGGTTTTTTTTTTTTTACCTCAGTTTATGGTTTCCAACAGCCAGTGGCACTCACATGTATTTTCTGATAATGCTCAAAAATTTAAAATGCTGTTAATTCTTATTTTATTGCCTTTTAGCATTCTTTCTCCTTTTAAACAACCTTTTATTGAGTATAAAGATAGATGTTGTGAAGTATTGTTCGTTTTCTTTAGAGGAACTAAACTATCATTATAGGTCAATTTATCAGGTTTGGTCTTGGAATGCCCAAGGCCTATAAGTAATTTCACCCAGCTCCTAGGTTAGCCCTGGCCCACAAATTCCAGGCCTTAGGAGGCCACAGACATCTAGGGAAACCTCATCAAACATTCACATGTATCACAAGAAAATGGGGACAGGTCAGTTCCCTCTGGAGTAAAGATTTCAGAGCATTCCCTTGCTCCCACATGCTGAGAATTGGGATGAACCTCCCAGGGTCTGAAAAATGCCAGTCCAGCAAATTTTTCTGCACACAGAAAAATTCAAGGAGCTGTCATTTTGAGAATTACCAAAAATAGCTGTAAATCATTATCTAGACCATCTGAAACAAGAAGTCCTTCCTCAGCGATACAACTGTTACTGTTCAAGCTTGAAAGATCACCCACTATTTGATGCTCGTGAAAAATGTGCAAGTAAAACTAGGTCTTTATTGAAAAAAAAAACCAACAGAAAAAGGAAACTTTAGTAACAAGTTAAACATAGCTCTAGTTTGGTACACAAACATGAATTAGATAAAGGGCAGGAAAATGGGATTAAGTACCTAAGGTGTAGCTGAAGAAGAGTGGTGTCTGGTTGTCTAATTGGAAAAGGAAAAATTGACTTTAACAACAAGTTTA